TGCCCAGACCCAAAATAATCACACAGAAACTGTATTAATTAAATCACTGCTTGGCCTATTAGCTCTAGCTTCTTATTTGCTAACTCTTACATATTAATTTAACCCATTTCTATTACTCTGTGTGTTGCCACAAGGCTGTGGCTTACCGGCTAAAGTTCAGGAGTCTGTCTCTGGTGGGGCTACATGTCTTTTCTCTGACTCTGTCTCTCTTTCTCAGCATTCAGTTTAGTTTTTCTCGCCTAGCTAAGTTATGCCTTGCTAGGTCCAAAGCAGTTTCTTTATTAATCAATGATAATCATAGCATACAGAGGGAAATCCCACATCAGGCTGGAGTGAAAATCAGAGCAATCCTCCTGCCTCAGTCTCTCAAGGGTTGGAACTGTAAGTGAGAGACCATGCACTGTTCCTTGTTTGACTCTTTTATTATTTATTTATTTTGGATTTTCAAGACTGGGTTTCTCTGTAGTTTTGGAGCCTGTCCTGGAACTAGCTCTTGTAGACCAGGCTGACCTCAAACTCACAGAGATCTTCCTGCCCCTACTTCCTGAGTGCTGGGATTAAAGGTGTGTGCCACCACCACCTGGCCCTATTTGACTCTTAATGAGAAGAAAGGGCCTATGCAAAGTGATCATTTTAAAAACTTGTTACCGACTGACAACAAAGGGGTTTTTTTTGTTTGTTTGTTTTGGGGTTTTTTTTTTTTTTGGTTTTTTGAGACAGGGTTTCTCTGTGGCTTTGGAGCCTGTCCTGGAACTAGCTCTGCAGACCAGGCTGGTCTCAAACTCACAGAGATCCGCCTGCCTCTGCCTCCCGAGTGCTGGGATTAAAGGCGTGCGCCACCATCGCCCGGCAACAACAAAGATTTTATTTTTAAATAAGTCTCTTTGAGTTGATTAGGTGGTCTTGTAAAAAAAATATTAAAATAAAACTTTTGATATTGAAGCACCTTTAAAATAAAAGGGCTCGCCGGGTGGTGGTGGCGCACGCCTTTAATCCCAGCACTTGGGAGGCAGGCTCCAAAACCACAGAGAAACCCTGTCTCGAAAAAGCAAAAAATAAATAAATAAAAAAAATTTTTAAAAATAAAAGGGCTTATTGAGCTGCTTGATGCTAGTTACAAAGAAAAAAAAAAAACAGGTCCTGGGACAGATTTTTACAACTCACAATAGTCAGAATAGATAGAAATTGAGAAAGGTCCCTGGGGACAGGAATGGTGGAACAACTTGTCCAAACAAACAAACAAAAACAAAACAAAAAACTTGGAAAAAAGAAATTCCCTTTACTTCTATTTTACACTAAGTACAAAATTTCAGGACTGGATGTAGCTCCATTGGAAGAGTGCTTGCCTCGCTTGTAGGAAGTCCTGGGTTCCATCCCCAGTACGGAAGAACAGGTGTAGCAGTGGAGGCCAGAGGACCAAGAGTTCAAGGTTATCCTCAGTGAGACAGTGAGTTTGATGTCAGTGTGATATAAATGGGATGCCTCCCTTTCAAAAATATTTTTAAATCAATTTTAGAAAACAGTGGGAACTAGAACTAGAAGCGCCTGAATGCTAGCTTTGAACTTGCTGGGTATTCCAGGCAGGCCTGGATCCTGTTGCCTCAGCCTCCTGATTTGCTGGAGGGATAGGCATATGCTAGCCTGGACTACATAGTGAATTCCAGGCCAATCTGGGACACATACTGAGTTTATGCCCATAATCCCAAAAGAAAACAAACAAAACAAAAAGAAAAGAAACGAAACAAAATGAAGGGGGTAGGGAGATGGAGGAGGAGGAAGAAAGAAAAATGGGCAAAAGATGTTTACAAGCACCCAGGAGAGAATATTCAAATCAGCAATAAATATGGAAAAGGTGATCAGCTTCATTAATCAGGGATATGCAAATTAAAGCCAAAATTAACTCTGCCCAAGAAGCCAGATGCAGGAGAGGACAGGTTGTCTGATTCCATTTTTAGGAACGTCTAGTGACAGAAAGCAAATCAGTGGGCGTCTGGGGGTGGAGATGAGGGAGACCGGCTGGCGCACTGGGAGTGACTTTTGGGGTGATAGAAATGTTCAGTGTCTTGAGTAAGGATTTTATGATTTGTCAGCAGTCCTTCACAGGTACAGTTAAAGTGGGTGTATTCATGGGTATGTATTCTATACATTAACAAATAAACTTAATCTCTGACCAGATTCAGTCCTTACTGAGGTCCTAAGGCAGGGAGATTCCTAGAGCTGCAGAGTCTATGGCCAGTCTGGGTAATACAGTGAGATTCTGTCTCCAAAATTAAAAGAAAAGAGGAGTTGGGGTGGAGCTCGGTCGGTAGGGGGTTGGCCTATCATGCTAGAGTCTTAGGCTAGACCCACAAAGGACTCTAGAACTGCACGTCTCTAGAGTGCATGCTTGAATCTACTCAAGAGGTAGAGGCAGAGAAGTTTCAGGGGATTCTCAGCTAACAGGGAGCTTGAGGCCATCCTGGGCTATATGAGACCCTGTGGAATGGAAGAAGGGAGGGATGGAGGGAGAGAGGATGGATTTTTTTAAAGCCCAATAAGATATCACTACATTTTCATCAGAATTATTAAAAGTGGGACTGGTGAGGTGAATATATATATATATGGTATGTTTTGGGCAATATATATATATTGCCTAAGATATTATGTTTTTACCAAAAATATCTACAAAATAGCTTATAGTAACAGATTTTTTTGAGACATAGGCTTACACTGTAGCTCAGCTGGCATTGAACTTTCATTTATCCTTTGCCTCAGCTTTCCAAAGGCCGCAGGCACAGGTGTATGCCATTGTGACCAGCTAGATAAATCTTAAAGACATTCGTCTAATTAGTTTCCTTTGGCTACAATAAAAAACCATTCTGATCAAAAGCAACTTGAGAAGGAATTTATTAGGCTTACACTTCTATGTCACAGTCCATCATTCAGGGACATTAGGACAGGAACGCAAGCAAGAACCTGAAGGCAGGAACCGAATCAGAGACCATGGAGTAACACTGCTTACTGGCTTGCTCCCCATGGCTTGCTCAGCCTGCTTTCCTTCCTAGCTCAGCACTACCTGCCAAAGGTCGGCACCTCCCCCAGTAGGCAAACCCCTTCTCCATCAATTGGCAATCAAGAAAATGCCCCACAGACGTGGCCACAGGCCAATCTGATGGAGGCAACTACCCAACTGATGGTCCGTTTCCCAAGTTGGTAGCCAAGAAAAACCATCACCATGTAGAAGACAAGTGATTAAAAACAAAACTGAACGTATTTTGACTCTATTTGACTGAGGTACCAAAGAGTCTAATTAATTTACAGTATTAGAAATCAGGATAGAGATCACCTAGTTGGGGGTGAGGAGGAACGGACAATCAGCAGGGCTTGTGATTTGTGTTTCTCTTTGATCCGTACAAATCTAAGAAAATGAGTAAAATTAAGATACTCTGTTAACTAAGTTACTATGTTTTAATAGCATTAATTTTAATTTGAGCTTTCTCTTAGAGCATAAGCTATATCTTCACCAAGTGCCTGGCTGACAGTCACCTTTGACAACTGTGTAACTGATAGCCAAATGTTCAATTTTACCTCAGATATATAATACTTGATGAGGTCATAACCCTTTCTCTCCAAAAATTGATACCTGGGGATAGACATCACCTGAGACTACCAATTCTAAGATTTTGGACTGACATTTGAGAACTCAGCACAGGGAACGTGAAGGCCGGTGAGTCAGGAGTTCAAGGCCAACCTTGGCTACACCACAATTTTTAATTATATGTATATGTGCACCCTGCAAATGGGTATATGTATAGGTGAATGTAGGGATCATCAGAGTCCAGAAAAGTGCACTGGATCCCTTCGGAGCTAGAATTACAGGTTGTTGTAAACCAAGTAACATGGGTGCCGGGAATTGAACTCTGACACTCTGCAAGAATAGCATGCCCTCTTAACTGCGGAGCCACGACTCCAGCCTGGATACAAGTCTGAAGCCAGTCTGGGATATATAAGACGATGTCTAAAAAACCAACAAAAACGTTTGGTTTATAGAAGAATTACAACTGAGACCGAGGAGGTAACGCGCAGACTGAGCATTAGGACCACGCTTGTTAGCAGAGCGATGGTGTATGCCTGTAAACCCTGCACTCAGGAGGCTGAGGCAGGAAGATTCAAAGTTGAAGGCAACCATCTGGGCAATATAATGAGCTTCAACTAATCTAGAGTAAGGAGAGGGAGAGACACATATACACACAGAGAATGCTATGATACAAATAGCCTTGCAGTTATTTTGCTGGGGGAAAAAGAAACCTGATCTGTTAGAAACAAATACTTATGTGTTCACTAATGAAATTAATGGCTGATATTTGCTTTAAAATAATTTCCAGAACAAACAACACAGACAACAGTAACAAAATACAAATAAAATAATTCTCTGGACAGGAGAGAATGGAGCGGGAGATTGGCGTATGCTGATTAATGATGGGAGCAGCAATAGAAAATTGAGGGAAGATTATTCTATTATCTATATTTTTGCAAACATTTGAAATAGTTTATTTTATTTTATTTTTTAAAGGTGTAGTCCAGGCTGGTCTCAAACTGGTGATCCTCCGGCGTCTGCCCACTGTCAAGAGCCAGAAAATCCTTTTAAAGAAAAAAGAATAAGGCAGTTCTCAAACACCTTCCTCAGTAGGAAGATGATAGACCGCGCTGTCTTCGCAGCAGTGGATGACAGGTGCCGTTTGAAACGCTGTCGGAATACCTGCAGGTTTTGTCCTTCTGGCTGCCAGCACTGTTCTTTGCCCTCTCTGCTTCCTTCCAATGGTTCCCGCCGCCGCCCCTCCGTAGCCGCAATGGTTTAGCCCGGCTTCCCCCGGGGAAACCCCTTGGGCGGAGCGCGGCCCCCGCCGTGAGGCCACTTGGATCTCTCCGCGTCAGGGGTGGGCCGGGGAACCTGTGGGCCGGGCACGAACCCGGGCTCTGATTGGCCGTCGCAGGAGTAAACATCCGGAGAGGTGGGGCGGGGCCGGAAGTGGAAGAAGAAGGCGGCGGCTGAGGCGGTTCAGGAGGTTTTTTAGAGCTGGAGTCCGAGGCTCAGGTGCCATGGGCCTGGTGAAGGAGCCCTGAGGGGACGCGAGGCTGGGCATGGCGGGCGCTCGGGCCGCCGCCGCCGCCTCGGCGGGGTCCACCGCCTCTTCGGGTAACCCGCCGCCTCAGGAGCCGGGGCTTGGGGAACTGCTGGAGGAGTTCTCCCGGACTCAGTACCGGGCCAAGGACAGCGGCGGGACTGGCGGCTCTAAGGTGAGCCCCAGAGGTGAAGCGACCTGGAACTGGTCCCAGGCTTGAGTTACTGAGGGAAGACTACAGTCAGGGATGGGAGGAGAGCGGGAAGGGACCTCCCTGGAGAGGCACAGAGGGGGAACTTATCCAGGATGTGGACTCGGAGAGTAAGGATCCGGCTTAACACCAAAGAGAGGACCAAAGCTCTTTTGTTTTGTTTGGGGGGGGGGTACTTTAGACAAGGGGTTTGGAGGTCAAGGGTCGGAGCTGCGGGCCAGGTGCAAAGGTTAGACAGTAGGAAATAGGGAAAATTGCTACCCTTCATGAGCCTAGAAGGGGTTGCCAAGTTAATAAAAACCTCTAAAGTCAAAGGAAAAATGGGGAAGAGATTCTCCCAGCCCAGAGATCAGAGCAGGAGCATGAAGTAGTGGGGCATTACGGTGCCCAGAGAGCAGCTGAGTTAGTCGCCTCCTTATAAGGTGCCAGCATGACTTAGGCCCTTCCCTTTCCTTTCCTGTAAAGCAAGAAGACAACCCACATTCCCTTTCTGTTCCTTTTATCAGAAAGAAGTTTCTGTTGTCCCCCCACCCCCGGAATTTCCCTTTGTTCTAATTACAAAGCCGTTGAAAGCTCCTGGTCTGATTGAGACGTACTCGCCTCTGCACACTGGTAGACCCTACCCGTTCTCAATTCCAGTGTGGCAGCTTTAGCATTTCGTTTACTTATTGGGGTTCGTCTATCCTGGACCATAAACTGGTTTGGCTCCAGAGGTTACCTAAGGGCTGGGACATGCTGTAGATGGCATCTTCTATTAGTCTCAGAGGTAACCTGGGAGAGACCAGTAATGATGGGGTAGTATCTCTCCAGATTAGCTAAGTACCTTTCAGATTATAATTGGCATCATTTGGGGTACTACTTAAACACAAAAGTTTCTTGGTCTTAGATTCTCTTACATCACAATTTCTGGTGGTCACACCCTAGATTTGTAAATTGTGTTTGTTCAGATAGGTCTTAAATTTGTGATATATCCAAAACCAAGTTGTGCACTCCTGATCCTCCTGTCTCCACTTCCCAACTGCTGGGGTTACAGGTGTGCACCTTCATGCCTGGTTTATATGGTGCTAGAGATTGAACGCAGGTTTTTCTGCATCCCAGACAAGAACTCTACCAGATGAGATGCGTCACCAATCTTGCCTCTTTTGAGACGTGGTCTTCCTCTGGGGCTCTGGCTTGGCCTCGCATTCATTATGTATCCCAGGATGGCTTGTAACAATGATCCTCTTGCTTGGCCTCCCAAGTACTGCTTACAGGTGTGACCCATCACACCTGTGGTCAAGGAAGCTCATTTGAGTGCTTGCAGGAGGTATGTGATTTTGACGGATTCCACCTCCCTCTTAATGTCTGAAGATTAGAGTTTTACAAGCTAAACCTTTACTTTCATGTAGCTGGTCCTAATACTGCTCCAGGCATCGTGGTGTCTTGCAAAGTTGTTGATAGGTTACAGGTTGTAAGCTTTTCTGCTAGTGGGCTCTTCTCTGAACTGTGAGCAAAAGGAGTAACTTCAGAGTGAGCCTTGCCTTCAGTATTATAAGCAGATAGTAGGGAAGGAGCCAGCTGTCTGCAGCTTTTATTTTGCTGACTAGAGCTGCTTTATTTTTGTAGGAGTTATTGAGACATGGTATATATATATACTGACTTTGAACTTGCCATCCCCCTACCTCAGCATCCTATGTAGTAGGATTACAGGTGTGCCCACCGTGTCTGACTAACAAGAGCTTCAAATATTATTATCTTGGTGCTGTAGAATAGGAAAGCATCTAGTACCAAAGAGATGGAATGTGTTAATGCTCTTATAGTAACCTTAAGCAAGAGTTACTGCTGCTTTGTTTTTTGAGACAAAGACTCACTATGTAGCCCAGCTTGGCCTTGAATTCTTGACCTTCCTGCTTCAGCATTCCAAGTGCTGGGATAACGGGCATGTGTCACTAATCTAGAAAGAATTTTTACATCTTATGAATGATAGACTCTCTCCAGTGTTAACTACAAACTGTGTGTTTTCAAGATAGGGTTTCTTTGTACAGCTTTGATTGTCCTGGAACTCACTGTGTAGACCTGGAACTCGCTGTGTAGACCAGACTGGCCTTGAACTCACAGATCTGCCTGCATCTGCCTCCCGTGTGCTGGGATTAAAGTGTGTGTCACCACTGCCTAGCTGACTACACAGGGTCTTACATACTGTGTGAATGATGGATTTAGATATCTTTCTGAAGCATACAATGTGAGTTAACATAGAAGGGCCTGTGGCCCAGCATTATGTTTCTTCCCAACACTGAATGATAATCACAAAAGTACTTGTCACTTCCAGTGGCCTCTTTGTTCATGGGCCATTTAATTCTCATGACTTTAGATCCCAAGATTCTTCTTTATGCTCAAGTCTCCTTCTCTATGCAGGTTGAACGCATTGAGAAGAGATGTCTGGAGCTATTTGGCCGTGACTACTGTTTCAGCGTGATTCCAAATGTGAATGGTGATATCTGCGGCCACTACCCCCGCCACATCGTATTCCTGGAGTATGAGAGTTCTGAGAAAGAGAGAGACACGTGAGCATCCTGTCACCATAGTGTGCATGTCTGGTAGACCTGAGAAGCTCATCTGCAGGGTCAGGAAACTGGGCAGGGCATGCTCGCTTTCCCAGGTGGCGTTTAGTTACTGGCATCTTTGTTTACTTTTGACTTTGAGTTTGACTGGCAGGGTAGTGGAGTCATAGCACTGGGTTTCTCTTTCATATTTGACTTTACTGACCTAAGATAACCAACACAATACTTTACAATCTTGTCTTTAGCAGGCCTAGTTAGAAGGAATGGTGACATATTGAGATAGACTGTATTTTATTGAGATAGGATATCATGTAGCCTGAGTTGGCCATGAGCTCTTTGTGTAGCCAAGGAAATGATCTTTAACTTCTGATCCTCCTGCCTCTACCACCTAAGTGCTGGCATTACAGGCTTATGCCACCATGCCCGGCTTTCAAATCAGGCTTAAGAGTGTTTGCCATGTGTATATCTTAAGAACTTAAGGTCTAAAGTCACACTGCTTGAGTTAACATCCTGGTTGTCCATTTTCTGACTATGTAACTAACCCTAGGCAAGTTATTCATCTTCTTTGTCCTTAGGATTTCATTGGTAATTCCAAGCCTCATCATAATTAAGGCTTGCAAAGACTAATTAAATTTCTAGAAAAGTGACTAGTGCTAATACAGGTCTGATGTATTCGCATTAAGAATTAAAAATAAGAGCTACCCGGTGTGCTAAGGTCTTGCACAGACTTAAGTGCTTTACGTAGGTTAACAGTTCACAGCGGAGGAGACTTGAAGCACCTGATACAGGAGTCTCATTAGGTGGTCAGTAAAGGGTAATGGTTTTTTGGCACAACACTGAGACTCCATGTTTGCTCCCAGTTTCTTCACCTGAGTTCCCTGCTTGCTGTTTATCTTAAGGAAGTTCCAGGAGCTGCTATGTAAGCTTAGCCCTGTGGATGAAGGGTAATGGGTAGGCTCCTGTCTTCAAAGCAAGGCCATTAGACCGAGACCTGAGGAGAAACAAGGACTTTGGGGTTCTAGAGCCAGGAGGTCAAAAATCACAGCATACCAAGATGCCTAAGTAATTCATATGTGTGGTCGGTGTTGGGAAGTGCTGCTGTAGGCAAATGGAGAATGGTTAATCCTGCCTGGTGTGTATGAGACAACCTCATGATAGAGAGCCTGTACAACAGGGCTTGGGAGGGTGATAGTGTATCCCCAGAGTTCTTAGGAACAACTTTTAAATAGGCTTTTCCTTTCTTTCTTCTGCCTTTTCCTTCCTTTCTCCTTGTCCTCTCTTCCCTTTACCCCTTTCTTCCTTCCTTTCCTGCCCTCCTCTCGTTTCGTTTGCTTTGAGACAGGTTTCATGCTGTAGACCTAGCTGATCTTTATCTTAACTCTCTGCCTCAGCCTCCCAAGTGCTGAGATTACAGGTATGAGCCTCCATGGTTAACTTGCATCTTGATCATTACCAAGGAGTGTGGACTTTTGGGACGTGTAAAGATGTTAGTGCTTTTCATCAGTAACACCTGCGTACAAATGATGAGTACAGATTCTAAGATCCCCTCTTGGGCCTTCTAAACCAGAGTTTCCACATTCTCCATTTTAGAACTCCGTAGCCAGATGTGGGGAAAGATGGTTTACAAGTAGAGGAGTTTAAGAATAAAAATAAAGCCTTTGTTTTCCTCACGTTCAGTGGTATCTAGACAAGTGCCCACTTCTCGATGCCCTTGAAAAGTTAAGCATATTACTCTTCTGTGAAGGTCCTAGAACTGGTATCACATCCTCCCTGGGCATCTGTGCTTATTTTAGCACCTTACTGTACTGTTCGTAGTTCTTCTCTTCCTAACTGCCCTTCCAAGGGTAGGGAAACGTAGCCTCTTGTAATCATTCAATGTGGTCAGTAAGTCTGTGTCTGTCTCACAATCTCCTCACTATCAATATTGTCATCCATGTAACCAAGACTGGCCTTGAACTCATGAACCTTCTGCTTACATCACCCAGGTGGTGGAGTTAGAAGTCTCTACCACCATGCCTTGCCCAAATTACTATTTCTGAACAACTCTTCTATTTATTTTTCTTCTGCTCTTTCCTACTCTTTCCTACAGTGCTGTCTGGCATTTAACCTCTGTCCTCTGATAGCATTCAGATGTTAAGCTTAGCTAAACACCTCAACTTTGTGAGTGAACCACCAAGGCATCTTTTTCCTGCAGAATGATTCACTACCTCAGAGGTGGGACCCATTCGGCATTCTCTAATGAGCTCTCGGTATGGTTAGTTGTTCTGAAAGAAACATGTTCAGTGTTTATTCATTCTAGCCTTAAAGAGAATAATCTCCAGCGGCTGCTGTAGCTCAGTTGTCAGAGTACATAGGGCATAGATGAAGCCCCTGGGTTCAATCCCTAGCACTATATAAACTGGCCATTGTGGTGCATGCTTGTAATCCCAGGCCTTTGGAGGTGGAGGCAAGGGTATCAGAAGTTCAAAGTCAGGGGTCAGGGCTTTTGAGATGGTTCCTTGGGTAAAGGCTCTTGCCTCTGAGCTTGAGGACCTGAGTCTTATTCCCGGGACCTACATAGTAGCAGGAGAGAACTGACTCCATTCTTGGCTACAAGGTAAGTCTGAAAGAAGCCTGAACTCTGTCCTGTCTTGAGGTGGTGAGAGGGGTGGTATTTGATTGCTTACTGGTTGTCATCTGTTGGGATTTCACACGCCAGCTTATTTAAGTCCTGCGGTCACCTATGAAAAATATAGAATCACCCCCATTCTACAGAGGAAAAAGATGAAGCCCAGAGAGACAATTTCCCTTTACCCACGAGCCAGTAAGCGGAATGATTCCACACTGTCCCCCTGTCTGCCTTTTCTTTACTGCCACCTTGTCCATGAGGGTCTCACTTTCCAGGAAAACACCTACAAGACTTGTTAGAATTTGGTTTTGTATCTGTTTGGTGTCAAGATCAAACCCAGGGCTTTGAACAGTTTTTTAAATTATGTGTGTCTGTGGGTATATGCACTGATTTGCAGATACCAATGAAGGCCAGAGACATTCAGCCCCTGCTGGAACTGGAGCTTGCATGTGATTGTGAACTTCCTAGTATGGATGCTGGGAACTAAACTTAGGTCCTCTGGAAGAGCAGCATGTGCTTTTAATCAATGGATCCATCTCTCCTGCCCCTTTTTTTCTTTTTGAGATGGGATCTTGGCTAAGTTGTTAAGGCTGATCTTGACCTCAGAATCCTCATGTCTTGTATAGCTGGGATTACAAGCATATGTCTAAGTGCCTGTTTTTTGAGTTTGTAGTTACTTTTCACTTCTTACATGGTCATTGCGTTATATTGAAGTGACTTTTAGTTGGCAATGACTTTGTTGAACGGAATAGAGTTTGAATATAATTGGATAGCAAGAAATATGACTACATGCTTCTTAAGTATAAATGTGACACTAGTCAAACTGAGTTAAGCATGGTATAACTAGATTCAGGAAGTGACTTGGTCTAGCTAATGAGCCTCCACAGTTCTGCCCACCCTCTTTCCAGGCAGGCCAGAGGGCTTTCTCTGAATGTTTGCTTAGCTGCCTCTGTTTGGCGGACCCCAAGAATTCAATAGGAGAAGCCCCACTTGTGAAATCCTCATTCTCAAGCTTGGTGGGTTTAACAAGCAATGGCAGTCTACAGAGGGCCTGAGCTCTTAGAGTGGTGGTTAAAACTGTGGACTCTAGCTGGGCTTACTGGTTCACTGTGGAGGCTGAGGTAGGATTGCTGTGAGTTCCAGACCAGCGTGGGGCATCGTGCAGTGAGATGGCCGAGCAGGTGAGAAGCACTTATGTTACAGTTCCTTTCAACCCCAATGTGGGGACTCAGTGTCTATAATCCCAGAGCTCCTATAACAAGATAGGAGGTAAAGACAGTTATACAGCAGCACAGCAGCAGAAATAAGACCCTCCCTCAAAAAACAAGGTATCAGGACAGAACCACCTCCTCAGCTTTGTCGGCTGACCTCTATATACCATGATGTGTGCTTATCTTTTCCTCCTTCCCTCCCCCACAAATAAACAATCCTTTGAAAGGGCTTACAAACACACACAGAAGAAATTAAAAAAAAAAAAAAAAAAACAGAAAATAGTGTTGCTACGTCAGTTCTGACAAGAAGTGTTCTTAAACTGTACAGCATTCCTAAACTAGGTTGCTTGTTCCTGCACACAACTAGTCTTCCTGCCTTGGCCTCAAGGGTAATAACAGTTGTGTGTTACCACACCATGCTTTAAAAATAGTTTTGTGAGCAAATGATATTCATGAAGACTAAAAACCAGTTAATGCCAATGGAGGGGGCTAGAGATTTAATTCTGACAGGCCTTGGGTTCACTCTCCAACAGCAAATAAATAGCAAAGGAAGTTTCACCACCTGGTTGTAGATACCAGTGTATAAGAATACAGTGCTCATTCGGGTGTGGTCATAGGCCAGATAGTTAATTCACTGGAAGTGATAGAAAAAAAAAAACGGGAACTGGGGAGAAAGCAGAAACAGAACTGGTTCTTTGACTAGTGACCAGGCAGATAAGCCATGATCTAGCCTAATAGAAAAGGAATGTTGTTATACTTAGAAGAACTCAGAATCCAGCATAATCTCAGTCCTTGGGAGGCTGGGGTACATAGTGAGACTATGTCTCAATAGCAGCAATAAAGCAGTAGCAAGAACCCTGACAGTTAAGAGTTAAATACTGGTACTATCTCTATGTTGATGATGATGATGTGTGTGTTTGTGGGGTATTTTTATGAGATCTGGTTTCACTATGTAACACAGGCTGGCCTGGAACTCTTGCTTCAGCCTTGTGTGTTGCAAGAACTTAACCTGGGAGATGGAAGGTTTTGTATGTTTGGATTTTGAGACAGGATATCATATAGCCCAGGCTGGTCTTGAATTGTACATAGTCAAGATGACCTTGTTGAATTCCTGACCTTCCTGTCTCAACCTCCTAGTACTTAGAACTGGACCTGGTATGGTAGTGCCTGATTTTCCAACCTCC